TTTTTTTTTTTTTTGTTGAGTTCTTTGCTGGCTTTGGTATTAGGGTGATGTTGGCTTTGTAAAAATAGGAAAGTTTTTTATTATTGCTTCAATTTCAGTACTTGATATTGTTCTGTTCAGGAATTCTATTTCTTCCTGTGTGTTACTAAGAATTTGTCCGTTTTCTCCATGTTTTCAAGTTTATGTGCATAGAGAAAGGGCTAAGCCCTGTTCCCTGTAGAAACCTCCATGTGGTGGCTCAATTGTCTCTGTTGGCAGCCACCAGTGGGGGAGGGGAAGGGGAGAAGAAGATTCTAGGTGGAGGAAAGTCCACACTCTGGTCCTCTCTAAACCTCTCTCCAGGAGGTAGTCTGCCCGGGCTCTGAAGTCACACAGATCGCCTGGGACACACTTGCTCCTGTGGCTCCTGCAGTTTGATCTGGAGTTGGGAAATGTCTGTGTGGGGACGAGCGAAACTGAACCTCAGGGGTTAAGGCCCCCTGGGGATGACAAAGGTGCACGGTGGGTAGAGAAGCAATATGGTGTCTGTGGTTTGGCTTGGGTCTGTCAGGTAGAAGGTGCCCTGGGGGTGCTGGGAGCCTGATCCATAAGAAGCTCTCTGCTCACTGGCAGCATCAGTCTCTGGACTCGTATCGGTGGAAGGTCTCTCCAGCAGCTTGGGAGCCCACCAACAGTCCAAGATGCAAGGGAGGGGAAAGTTAACTGATCCACCTACCCTTCTCGCTGGTCTCCAAGCCTCTCAGGGCTTAATCCCCACCAGTGCCTTTCTCCTTCTAGTTCTGCTCCATAACCTCTTCCCATGGAGTCTCCTGTAGGTTTAGGCACCCTTCCTTCAAACTCTCATCTGATTTATGTTTGTGTGTCTGTTTTTTCTCTTTCGTCTAAAACTTCTTCTTCTTGCAGAGAGGCTCTGGCTGGTGGTGTGTCTGGTCCACCATCCTGCTCTTCCTCCCTTATTCTCCTGTTTTTAAAAATTGTGTTAAATCTACTTTGTTAGAACTTACATTATTTATATATTTACTGTCTATAAAATCCTGGGCTCTCATTGTTTATTTGAGTTTCTTAACAATGTAGCTCTATTCTTGTTTTGTATATAGCTTTCAAGAACTATGATGTCATACTAATTTTCTTTCCTTTGTAAATGACATGGTGCTTTGCTAGAACAGGATAATTTTTTTTTGTCTCTCACATCTATTAGTTTTACTAAAATTTGTCTGAGAGTCGATCATTATGGATATATTTTTCCAGGTACATGTTACTTCCTTTTACTTTCTAGATTCATATCTTCTTTTACTTCAAGATGGCTTTATTGCCTTATAGTTCTAAATGTTACTTCTGTTCCATTGTTCTGGTTTTATTTCTTAGGTATTTCATTGGAAATAATAGGATTTTCTGGAAATTTCTGAAGGTTTAGATAGACTTACCCAATTTATAGTTCAGAATATTCTTCTCCTTTGGCATGAAGTCAAATTTCTTAAATAAATATATATAATATGTAATATTTAATTTTGTGTATATATATATATAAACAACATGTATACACACATACACATATATACACGCACTTGTATATATGCTTGTATTTGCTTAACTTCTATATCCATCACTTTTTCTATTATTGACATCTCTTCTTTTATTTGGTTTTCCTTTTCTTGGCTATTTTTGTTTCTATTCTCTGTGCCCTTTACTGTATTTTAAGTTATATTCTCCATTAGCACCTTTTAATTTAGTCTTTATTTTTGTGATTTTTATCTTTTTCTTAAATTTATTTCTTGAGTGCAGTGAACTTTTATTTCACATCTACTTACTTATTGCTTGTTCATTTCTACTTTTGAGTTTGAAATTCCAATTCGTGATGTTTTTATGTTCATGTGAGAGTGTCATATTACAGTTTTCTTTGGGCTTGCCACCCTTCTGTTGGCTGGCTGGCTTTCTTTGACAGGGAACAAATAATCTTTTTCTTCAGCAAAATAATTTAATTTTACCTTTATAGTAGTTCAGCAAAGATTTATGAGGGTTTGGGTTAGCTGACTCAGTTTCTCAGTTCTGAATGTTCTCTTGGTTTTGTATAATGCAGTGGTTTCTGTCACAGGTAGGGCCTCGGCAGGAGGTGGATCTGTTTCTATTTCTACAATGCTCATTGTTTATCTAGAACATTAACCTCAGCCACTTGCTTCCTTTCCCCAAGTACTGCAAAAGACTCCTCTTTTCCAAAATGCCTCCTTCTCTTGAGTAGTGCCTTCCAAAAACTGCATTAGTCTTCAAATACCTTGCTTCCAATGCCACATATACCCACCCCCACCTTAATTCATCCTTCATACTGCAAAGGAAATTACCTTTCCAGAATACAAATTTGAATATGTTTCTGCTTAGTACTTAGGGGAGAGTTCATATTTTTTCATAAGGCATAGCTCTTTGTAACCCTTCCTCTATTTACCTGGCTAACTTCATTTCCAGTAAGTTCTCACCCAGTCACTTTCTTCCTCCCCTTTGAACTTGGCTCTCCCTTCCTGCAATGTCCTTTCCCTATTTATCTGCTTGGTGATCATAACTTATTTTTTCCATGCTTAACACAAAGGCAACGTCTCTGAGAAGTCATCGTTGACCTCCCCAGAGAATGTTAATAGTTTTCTCTGCTGTGATTCCAGGAACCTTACATATTACTCTTTATAATAATGATCACCTTCTCCCGATTCATTTATAGGCCTGGGCCTTCTTGCAAGACAATTAATATTGGAGGAAGTGCTTCTGTTCAATTCACATTTATTTCTGTAGTGTCTGTCTGAAAGCAGATCCTGGCCACCTCCTTTCTAGCAGGAGAAGTCCAGCTTTCTGCAGGCTTTCTGTTAGTTGTGATCACACTTGCCTGTAGCCTAGCACTTCTAAATGCTTTTGATCTGGAGCAAAGAAGCGGCTGTTTCACTAGAGAGCTTCCAGTCTCTCAGTTGGCTCACCTTCATCTTCAGAATGTAGTCCTCAACATTTAGGCCACTGGTAAGATTTTGACAAGCTGTGCTTTGTTTAATTCCTTCAGTGGTACCCTGATCCTTCAGGGAGAAGAGTTCAGATCTGCTCTCCTTTACAATCCATATCTAGCAAGAAATTCCTTGGCATTTGTAGCAAGGAGATGAAAACATGTTTTCATTCTTAGCTTGAGAGCAAATCCTTTCCCCTCTACTCTAATAGTCCACTAGGTGTTAGAGGTGGTTTCTGGAAAGGTGGATCTCAGAGACTGAATATGTACATTAACATAGGAAAGTTCTTCTGAGTGTCAATTTGGTGATTTTGAAGTTTGATTTAGTTTAGCATAGGTTTTTTTTTTTTAAAGCACAGTATGCAAGTAAAACTATTGTTTTCCTTAGTTGTTTCAATCTACTTGAATGTGGAGTAAAAGTGGAGCAATCTGCAAGATTACCAAGTATTTGTTTTCCCTAGAGGATATCCTGAGGATCATCAAGGAGGCTGGATTCGATCTGACACAGGCGAAGGAGATGCTCCTAACTCAAGAGCGAGCAAACAAGATTTATTCAAAAATATCAGGAAAACCCTTTTATAAAGATGTATTGGAAATGTTATCTGAGTAAGTGTCTGGTATACAGTTCTTTGTATTATAAAAGGAGTAAATGTTCATTACAGAAACTTTGAAAAATACAGCAATTAATTAAAACATTCCATCTAATCTCATTCACAAAAAGACACGCTGTTAACATTTGGGGTTCATTTTTTTTTTCCATTTCATTCCCTCCTTTGCTCCCTCCCTATCTTCTCTCTCCTTCCTTCTGTCTTTCCTTCCTTCCTTCCTTCCTTCCTTCCTTCCTGTTTCTTTAGGTCTTCACATTAGATATAGAGGCCGTCTGGGTTTAAATCCCTGTTTTACCAACATACTTACTCTGTGCCTGAGTCTCCTTATCAGCAGAGTGGGGATAATAATGGTACCTACCTCCCAGGCTTGTTGTGAGGCTGAGTAAGTGATACATTGAAAGTACCTGGAATAGTGCATGGCATATATTAAGCACTCAATAAACGTTAGCTGTCATTATTCACATCTTTCTTTCACATGTGTAGATACCTTGTCAAACTCTTTATATGGACACAATAACATAAGTAGTATGATACTAAATATTAAATACTAAATATACTGTTTTGAAATGGTCTTCTTCCACATTATGGATCTCTTCCTGACAACGCAGACCTTTATAACCACAGCATAGAAATTAAAAGCTAACATTTGTTGAGTGTTTACTTAATTCCAGGCCTTGTGATGAGCTATATACACTTTCTCATTTGATGACTTGTAATAACAACTCTGAAGTAATTTTTACTAGTATTTCCACTTTGATTGTGGGGGAACTGAGGCCCAGGGATGGAATTTGTCCACGGTCACAAAGCTAGTATTTGGCTAGGGCCTGAGCCTGGGGAGTCTGTGTTCTTAACTGCTGCTTCCCGGAACTCTCTTTTACATGGAGTTCATAATTATTTGAACACCCTTAACAATTTGCTCCTGGTTAAACAATTTTTATTTGCTATTTTACATATGTTAAGTTATAAATAAAATTTTGTACATAAACAGGCACTGCATAATGATGTTGCAGTCAATGATGGACGATGTATACAACAGGTGGTCCTGCAAGATATGATGCAGCTGAAAAATTCCTATCGCCTAGTGATGTCAGAGCCATCATAACCTAGTAGCACAATACACCGTCTTTTCTATGTTTAGATCTGTTTAGATACACAAATACTTATCACTGTGTCACAGTGGCGTATGGTACAGTAACGTGCTGTACAGGTTTGTAGCCTAGGAGCAATAGGCTATACCATATAGCCTAGGCATGTAGTAGGCTACACCATTTGGGTTTGTGTAAGTACACCTTATGATGTTTGTCTGACAATGCGTTTCTCAGAATGTATCCTCGATGTTAAGTGACACATGATGTACATAATAAACCTCTTTAAATTCACATCTTTCCTTTTCAGTTTCTGACCATTGGTCAATGAGTCTAGAAAGGCAAAACTTGTAGAGTTCAAACCAAAGATTAAATGGAATATAAGTGGCAATTAGATACAAATAATAAACAAAAGATTAGGGACTTTAGGTACCTGAACCATGATAGCTTAGAGAAGAAGCTAACTTTCATGCCTGTTGTGGGTTGCATTTCCTGGGAAGCAGACAGAGCTTACTGTTCAAGCTATTGACTAAGGGTGCCACATGGAAGAGGGGACAAAGAAGCAGGATGGGGAAGAAGGGGAGGTCAAGATGAAGTGCAGGCCAGACAACAGCCTCTGCTGACCAAAGCTAGACTCAGAGCTGTCCCATAGTAACAGAGATGGCCAAGCCTTTGTACCCTCACATTGGTCAGTCATGGGAGGTGGGCCCCCTTGGAATGAGGGCGGCTTGAGCAAGGTGGCTCCCTGAGATGGAGGCAATCCCTGAAGGGCAACCATGAAGCAGGAAGTCCTGGGTCCACGACAATGTCTCTATTTATAGACCCCAAAGTAGCAAAAATCACAGAACTCCATTGACAAATATTCCCTAGAATTAAGCTACAGCACTCATTAAGCACAAAAATCTGTTGGAAGAGGGAGAAATAAAAAGAAAAGCACAAATGACACCACTAAGGACAAAGAATAAAGAGACACTCCCTGCCCAAGCTGTGACATCCCGTCCTTAGCTGTATTTGCAGTCTCTAGAGTTGTCCGGCGCCCATGTCTTCTGAAAGTGTCATTCCTTGCAGGGGTCCATCTCTGGTCTTGGTTCTGACCAAGTGGAATGCTATTGCAGAATGGAGACATTTGATGGGCCCAGTAGACCCAGAAGAAGCAAGACTGCTGTCCCCAGACTCTATCCGAGCCCGATTTGGAATAAGTATTTTGAAAAATATTGTCCACGGATCATCTAATGCTTATGAGGCAACAGACAGCATTGGTAAAATCTTTGAAGAGTTTGTTTCTGAGAATCCTGAGGAAAACTGAAGTACGTACTATGAAGTATATACCTCCTTTTCTGTTCTTTGTTTGGTACCACTGAATGAGCCCAGGTCAAGCCCATCTGAAAAGAGCAAAACTTTTCCCATATTCCTGAACCAAACTTTCTTTCCTGCCAGGCATGTTGTACTGCTGCATAGCAGCCTCACAGCCTCCAAGCTGAGCGCTGTAGATGATGGTGACCTGGGGGATTCTGGTTGCGTGTGGCCAGGCTGAGGCAGCCGCGCCCAGGCTGCAGGGTTGGGGACAGCGGGCAAGCAAAGCACCCCTGGGTTTGCAAGCCTTGGTCTCAAGCCGCTGTGTCATCTGCCATGACTCCAAAGCCCTCATGTAGTCCCTCTGTAGGGACTGCATGCTATGTAGAAGTGTCTACACAATATGCATGCGCTTTTTTTTTTGAGACAGAGTCTTGCTCTGTTGCCCTGGGCAGAGTGCAGTGGTGTCTTCATAGCTTACTGCAACCTTGAACTCCTGGGCTCAAGCGATCCTTCTGCCCCAGCATCCCAAGTAGCTGGGACTATGGGCATGTGCCATGATGCCTGGCTAGTTATTTTTAGAAGAAATGCGGTCTTGCTCTTGTGCAGGCTGGTCTGGAATTCCTGAGCTCAAGCGATCCTCCTGTCTCAGCCTCCCAGAGTGCTAGGATTACAGCGTGAGCCACCACGCCTGGCCACTATGCATGTGCTTTGGGTTTCCTTGTTTGCTAAGCAATGCGGGAGGTGGAGTGCAAGATGGGTCACCTTTCCTATCAAACCTGCTTTCTTTATTTTCAAAGAGCAGGCACAAATGTCCACCAGATGGCTCTGCCTGCTGGCCTGAATGTGACTGTACAGCCTTTCTATGTGGAGTGTTGTCCCCACCTGCAGGAGCCATGCCGAGAATCAGTTTCCACAGCATAAGGAAAAAGCACTGTGACATGGAGACCCCCGACCCCATACCCAGCAAGACTCCTCAGGGAGAGAAGAGTACATTGTTCCCTTCATGTTGTTATAGTATTTGGGCTATGATTTCTCCAGGTATAAGAACATTGTGTTGAAATATCAGATGTGTAAATAAAAAGTAAGTTCTAGCATAGTACAGCTTGTTCCAGAAGTCTGACTCAATTATAGTCCAAGGCATGATTGCAAAACCCGTGAACATTCATGGTGGGAAAATATGTACTGTATGCTATGCCTTCTTGAACC